CCCTTTAGAAGCTTACTGAATAGGTCACTTTCTATGTCATTGAGCCACTGCCAAACAGTCATGTATAGTTCCGAATGAGCTGGGAGTCTTATTAAGCTCATTAAGCTGCTAACAGCATACCCATAAAAACTTAGCTAAATGATAACTTCTGCAAACCATCAAAATTGTACCTTTTGTCTATTGGGAAATAGGGATTTTATAACTTTTAACTTATTTGCAGCAACTATATTGTGTGAAATCGTAGTTCTTGAAATCATGGATAGAGCTCTGAATTCTCCTCTTTCTACTTCTGTATTTAATCCTTTGTGTTAGTTATGTTACTAGCTTTAATAAGTCTGTTCATGGAGATCAAATTATAATCTGAAGTGACTTGGGTTAATTGTTGTTTTCTCGCAAATCGTTGAAATAGGCACATAAGTTTAACAATATGGGTCCAGTTCTCGTGATGTGAAAGTGGGAAAGGACTCGGCAAATAAGATGCAATGAGTTCAAGGAGAGTTGGGGGAACAATTATTTGAAATTGGTTTTCTTTGATTTCTTATTTGATCCATTGTCTTCCAAATTATACAGTATTTAGATCTATAGTTCCATATGAGGATTCAAGACTTGGCATCAATGGTATTTTTGTGAACTGCATTGATGTTATCTTGATGCATGTGTTTATATGTACTATATGGTCAAGCCGTGAGCATAATGGACGGTGGTCATGACCTATCATCAGTTATATACTCTTAGAGGCTGTTTGCCTACACAAATTAGGTAGGCACTAACGGGGTGAGGCTGTGGTGTGGGTAAGTGTTGACTGAGTAAGGGAGTCTTTCTTTCCTTACCAATTCAGCATCATTTGTCGGTCAGAATGTTTGGTCAACAACTTCACCTCATACTAGGTAAGCGGAATTATTAACATCATCTAAATTATGCTTGTGTCCCGTCTTGAAGTCTGTTGTGGAGTGTATGTAATTTCCTTTACTTTGCAGATTTGTTTGCATATAACATTTTTTTGCTTTATAGCTAACAGTCTGCTTTAATATTTTTTTTGTATTTTCTTCTCAGGAAAATATTAAGACAAAGCATCCTCAATTGTTATATGAATCAAAGTTGTATAAGATACTGCAGGGAGGAAGTAATGAACATTTTCATAACTTCGCCACTATATCTTTGGGCAAAATGAATCAAAATGAACAAAGTCTGCTTTAGTTCTTATTTAGTGTAACGACTAACTTTTTTTTTCTCAGTGTAACAAAGCTTCAAAATTTTGTATTTTGTACCCATTTTGACCGTTAACGTGCTGATCTTGTAACATTTGTTGATGTGGATACCCGTCTACAGAAGGTTTATGAAATGTTGACGAAAGGGTTATGGCAAAGTGGACGACAAACTTGACGTTTACGTCATTAATTATTACAAGAATCAACAGGTTACCTGTCAAAATGGATAAAAAATAGGAAAGTTTGAAACTTTGTTACTTCGATTGAGGGAGAATTTCTTTGTCACACTAAATAGAAAAACTAGGACAAACTTTGTTCTATTTTGATGCACTTTGCCTAAATCTTTTTGTTGGTTATTGTGTTCACTTGCTTTGTCTTCTCATTTTTTAGCTGGAATCCCGAATGTGAGATGGTATGGTGTCGAAGGAGACTACAATGTTCTAGTGCTGGATTTATTGGGACCTAGTCTTGAGGATTTGTTTAACTTCTGTAGTAGAAAGCTCTCTTTGAAGACTGTTCTTATGCTTGCGGATCAGATGGTGCGTCTCTCTTCCTTCCAGTCGAGCTTTTTGTTATCAATCGTATGTTTCCCCATTATATTCTTCTGGTTATTTTCATTGCAGATCAATCGTGTCGAATTTATTCATTGTAAATCATTTCTACATCGGGATATCAAGCCAGATAACTTTCTTATGGGCTTAGGGAGGCGTGCCAATCAGGTTTCTGACCATAACTTTCTCGTCTTATTGTTACGTTATGATCTTACATGTAGCTCAAAATTCATTTTTACTGCTTCGATATCTATAGGTCTATGCTATCGACTTTGGGCTAGCCAAGAAATATCGGGACTCCTCAACTCATCAACACATCCCATACAGGTGAATTCACTAACTTTGTTTCAATCTTTCCGGCTGCACACTTGGTACCGGTGCTAATGCTTTTGTTTGGTGTCTGTTCTTTAAATTGACCTCAACTTGTTTGTCCTTCATTTGCATGCTTTGGCCATTGTTTGGCAAGCATAAGGTAGCTTATTTTTTGCGCTTATTGAAGAAGTCCCGTTTGGTTAGCCTTAAACAAGCTTTTGAAAAGCTACAAGTAGTGTTTCAATATGTCCATGGGGTTTTTCCAAATTTTTTTCAACATGCCCTTTTAGGTAATTTTACATTGCCATCTAGTTTATCGGTTGGTTGTACCAAATATGACTAGTTTATTGGCTAGCTTATAAGCCAATAACTAGCTTAATTTTATTCTTTTGCATGCTTTGGCCATGTTGGCAACCATAAGCTAACTTATTTTTTGAGTTTTTTAAAAGCTGCGAGTAGCGTTACAACAAGCTTTTTCCCATTGTTGATTGTTATTTCATGCCTCCTTTGGTGCCATGAAAGTGAAACGAGGATATTGCTATGATATAGTTATGCTTTATCATCAGAGCCTTGCACTCTTTGGTCTTGTTCATCTTGAATGCTCATCGTATCATAAAATACAGAGAGAACAAGAATTTGACGGGGACCGCTAGATATGCAAGTATGAACACTCACCTTGGAATCGGTAAGTTTTTGGCAGGCTTAAAGTTATTCAAGTATTCAATGACATTATCCCTCATGCGTTTTAGTCTTTTATACTTGTAGAACAAAGCAGAAGAGATGATTTAGAGTCACTTGGTTATGTTCTCATGTACTTCTTGAGAGGAAGGTAGCTATTTATTTCAAAGTTTATATCTTTTATTTAAATTCGTCATGTAATTTGTCTAGTCCTGGGGTCCTCACTGGAACAACCACTCTACTCTTTGAGGTAGAGGTACTCACGACCCCACATCCTAGCAGGATATACCAGGCTCGTGGTTTCGTTTGGTCTTACATAATTTGGCTAATCCTGGGAGTCCTTACTGAAACAGTCGCTCTACTTTTTAGGGTAGAGGTAGGGTTTGTGTACATCTTATCCTCCAAAGAGCCCACATTCTAGTGGGAGATACTGGGCTTGTTTGGTCTGGTTTTACTAATTTGGCTAGTCTTGGGGGTCCTCACTTAGTTGTTCTACTCTTCGGTATAGAGGTAAGGCGTGTTTACATCTTATTCCCCAAGAACCCACATTTTAGTGGGATATACTGGGTTCGATTGGTTTGGTTTTACTTAATTTGGCTAGTCACTGGGTCCTCGCTTAAACAATCACTCTACTCCTTAGGGTAGAGGGTAAGGCATGTGTACATCCACCCCCCCCCCCCCCAAAAAAAAAAAAAAAAAAAAAAAAAAAAAAAAAAAGAAAAGAAAAGAAAAGACCCCACATTCTAGTGGGATATACTGGCCTTGTTTGGTTTGGTTTTACATTATTTGGCTAGTCATGGGGGTCCTCATTGAAACAATCGCTCTATTCTTTAGGGTAGAGGTAAGGTTTGTGTACATCTTACCCCCTCATGAGCCGACATTCTTTTGGGATATATTGGGCTCATTTGGTTTGGTTTTACATAATTTGGCTAGTCTTGGGAGTCCTCACTGAAACAGTCGCTCTACTCTTTAGGGTAGAGGTAAGGTTTGTGTACATCTTATCCTCCCATGATCCCACATTCTAGTGGGATATATTAGGCTTGCTTGGTTTGGTCTTACATGATTTGGCTATCTACAACTATATGTTTTATATAATGCAGTCTCCCATGGCAAGGATTGAAAGCCGGAAATAAGAAACAAAAATATGAGAAGATCAGTGAGAAGAAGGTTTCAACATCTATTGAAGTAAGTGATGATGGTCCCATATTGTTTGTAACGATCGTCCCAAACTGATAGTAAATTAGATTTGTTAGCTTCTTATAAGCTCAAAGTTGTGGACTACCAATAACTTCCACCATGGTTTAAAAGAAGTTTTGGAAGATATTGGGACAACCCGCTGCTTTGGGCTATGGGACGCTACAACGTTGGTATTGATAAATCATTTTTTGCCATGAAATTTACACGATATCCACTTTTTTTCAGGCTTTATGCCGAGGCTACCCTACAGAGTTTGCATCCTACTTCCATTATTGTCGTTCATTAAGATTTGATGATAAGCCAGATTATGCTTATCTTAAGAGAATCTTCCGTGATCTTTTTATTCGTGAAGGTTGTAATCTCTACTCACTCATTAGATCTTGAAACGGGTTTGCTTATTTGATTTCTCTTTGTCTTATTTCTTCAGGCTTCCAGTTTGATTACGTGTTTGATTGGACTATTTTGAAGTATCAACAATCACAACTTGCCAATCCTCCATCTCGTGCTCTTGTAAGTTGTAGGTTTTTTTTGAGGAAATTGTTGAATTGATCCCGGTAAATAACTTATGATATTTTTTAGGGTGCGAGTGCCGGACCAAGTACCGGGGTCCCTCCGGTGGTTTCGAACCTCAATAGGCAATCTGGTGAGTCTTTTTGCTCTTTTCTTCTTCTCTTACCCTAATGCACAAGCCAAAGGTCTTTACAGATACATCTGGGGTAGAGGAAAAGTCTTCATACATCCCGTTTGGTTTGCAGGATAGGATAGGATAGGATAGGATAGGATAGGATAGGATAGGATAGGATAGGATTGGATTGGATTGGATTTGGATTTGGATTTGGATTTGGATTTGGATTTGGATTTGGATTTGAATTTCATTCTAATCTCATGTTTGGTTTAAAGGATTTTCTGGATTTGAAATCTCGGTATTTCATTGAAATCCCATAAACATAGGATTTGAAAATCCCAAGGGGGTGGTTGGTATTTCAAGGGATTGGAATGGAATTCAATTGCAAATCCCAATGATTTCTAGATTTGAAATCTCGGTATTTCATTGAAATCCCATAAACATGGGATTGGAATGGAATTCAATTCCAAATCCAATCCAATACCGCAAAGCAAACTGGTTTGGTTTTTTAACTCATTGATTGAGAGAATCTGATCCAGAGATTTTAACAATGATTGGCCTTGAATTGTTGCTAGTTTGTACAGTATATTGCCAACTGTTGCTGTTCTGGATTTGTGATAATAATTTGTTAATATAAATCATTGTTTATTTGTAATGGTTACATTTTGACTTTTCTTTAAATATGAATTATTTTAAAAAAAATATCTTTTAATAAATAGAAATTAAGGAATTTATTCGTAACAATGATAATTGGTTTTTGGTCTGCAGGTGGTGAAGAAGGGAGGCCGACTTCTGGAAATCTGTCGTGGAGTCGAAATGCTGCCGCGATCACTAATTCCGGGAACCTATCTAAGCAGAGAGTACCGGATCAATCCATGAGTAGAGATGTATATATCGTTGCATTCCGTTCCTGTTCCATCAAACACGTCCAAAATAGCAATTCTGGACTCCCAATTCATTTTATAGCCGTTTTTCTACTCAATTGACTAAAAATAGCCATCATTTTGCAAGTAGCACCCTTTTACGTCAGTATTTTGCGAGTAGCACTTTAGCAACGTGTGAAATTGCTACTTTATGAATGGCAAGTTGCTAAAGTGCTACTTGCGAAATGCTGACTATTTCGGTCGATTATAGAAAATCTGCTATGAAGTGAATTGAGCAGTGGTAAAAAATGTCTATTTCAGACAAATTCCCTTTCATTTAATTCATCTTTGTATTCTCTTCCATCAATAAATCGATTACGTTCATTTAATTGGTGATTTTGCAGTTATCAAGATCGAGCTTTTTCCGAACAACTGGGTCGTCAAGGCAAACGGGCGGTGAACCCGACTCATCTCGTGCTGCAAGGGCAACAGATGCGAGCCCCGGGGCGCAGCAAAGGAGCTCACCCACCGATCAGAAGCGATCAACTTCTCGAAGTGCTGCTGCTGGTGGTGCCACCACGAACAATATCAAGAACTTTGAGTCGACTCTGAAAGGTATCGAAGGAATGCATTTTTAACACAAATTAATGTCTGTAAATTTGTTTTCTCGAAATTGTCGTGTATACACCCCACACCCAAC